ATTATTATTATTATTGTTAGTATAATAACAGCACACTTTAAGCTTAGGAGAGAGAGGATGTGAGTTAAAGAGGGTAGGGAGAAAGATTGGACTAACTGAATAATGGATAACTGTGACCAGAGTATTTCTACAATAGCTTCGATAATCAAAACATATTATTTCTGACTAATGCTGTATCCACTTTTCCAGGTGTCTTTAAGTCTAAGACAACTACCATATTGGCACAACAATAACAAAGTATTACTGAATGCACATTTAATCAACTTTTAGATTTGTCATTTTCTGTTGTACTCTGCATAACCTACGATTATATGTATACTGATTATGCATTAATCGGAAAAAAAGAAAGAAAAACAAAAGGAGTGCAGATTTCACAACTTTACAGAATAAGACTTGTTGTTATTGTTGTTGTTATTATTATTATTATAAGTTAATTGATAAATAAATGGTTCTGAAGAAAATTGTCATTTGGGCACAGAATTTAAAGTAAGGCGTACTCATTTTCAGTGACTTTGTATTGTACAGGGGTTAAAGCGAAAAAAAGCCTAAACTTTTTTTTCTGGGGGTTGCGGGAGTGGACACATACACAGGGTTATTTGGCAAAAAAAAAAAAAAAACACATTATTTGAAAATGATTTTCCTTGAAACTAACTAGTAACATATCTGCCCTTGCCATTAGCCCTTGACAGGCTCAGACTACAGATTATGGTGGGCTATTTGAAACAGCAATACCAGGAAAGGTTACTCACTATAATGCATACACATGTAACATTTAGGATGCTTTTGATATCAAGTTTTGCTTGTTAGATTTGTTCTTGACAGGGTACAAGATGACCTATAATTTAAAACATTACATTTCTGAAATTGTTTTGTTCAAAAGAAATAATAATAAATTAAATCCTAGGAAATGAATATAAAATAGGAAATACACAAAGACAGTTTACTACAGAAAACTACAGTTCAGTTCAGTTAACAACAACAAAATAAAATGCTCCAAGAACTGGTAACTTAAACAGGGTTCGTACAGATACTGCAAAATTAAATTCCAGGACTTTCAAGTGCTTTTCAAGCACTACTCTTTTGGTTTTCAAGGACTAAAATCAGATCTCACTTATCGCTTATAAAAATATATTGTTATTGTCTTTCAAATTCTAATATATAAACTAATAAAACAAATGGTACAAATAAAGTGCAGCACATGCAAAGAATGCAATGATTGTGGCAACTTTAATATTTGAAAGGATACTATGGCAAAGCTATCGCTTTCCTTATTCAAACTGATTTTTTTTTTCATGAGTATATGACTGACCTGAAGAATGAAAGCTATATCATACACTTGGAAAATTATGAGCTACAGTATATCACTGCTTATCGACACAAGGGGGTGTGACAATAAACTTAGCTCATGAGATGAGACAAAATGCATATACTTGGTTCAGTAGAACGAGACAATGCCTTTGGTCTAATAGGTTTTATTTCCAGAACATGATGCATGATGGGATTTAAAATACCGTTCCGGAACGCTATTCGAGATGGTGTGTGGATTTAGTGTGCATGAAGGGCACTGCGCTTTGCCGTTTTTAAAGTCGGCATGAAATGAATGATAAAGCGATTGTCTTTTTTTCTCTACTGTGACATCTATCCGAGTGAAACGGCATCGGAAATAAGAGGGCGGGACTTGATTTCGTTCTTCGGGTATTGATTGGATCGTTGGAAGTTGGGGCGTTGCTAACAAAATGGAGGCAGATCTGAATGCCATTTTGCAGTTGGTTGTGGGGGGATTTCTCACTGATTTCTCACAATGACACAAAACATACCTAACAGCGCGTGTGCGAGAGCGAGACTGCCTGAATGACTGAGCGCGTCCTCCATCAGGTTAAGTCATATTCATAAAAAAAAAATCGTTTGCGATGTCCTAAGAGTAATGTCGTGGTAATATACTAATATCCTTTCAATTTGTAAGGGTAGTGTACTCCCCCATGGCTTGCGTCAGCACTGGTCAATGCATTGATTTCTATAAAGTGAAACATCAGATTCAGTTTTTCCGCCTGTTGTTCATCCCCGCGTTTACCCCTCACGTCACTAGCTCCGCCCTTGCGCCATAGCTCGTGACCGGAAGAGAAGATGAGTCATTTTGAGGGGGAGGGGAGTTAGCGTTTTTGATTAAAGATTAAGATTAAAAGATTAAAAAATTATGAAGTGCACGGATAAATTATTTATAATACACACTACAGTATTCCATTAAAAAATAAGAATTTTCAATTTTGATTTCATGGTGACTTTAAGATCTGGGACAGTCTTGCTCAAGTGGCCAAGACCGCAAATGTGGGTATTTGGACCGATTTGGACAAGGCATATCTTATTTTCCCACGCCAGAGATACGGCACGGTGCCGGAGAACTTTAAGCCCTGATTGTAGTTTGATACGTCAGGTATCAGGATACTCTGAGCAAATAGACTTCCAAATGTATGTTGTATGAGGTTTTATGTTATCTGCTAGTTGGGACTAACAGGGCCATGCTACCCAGCAAAACTTGGTTTTCATCCAAGTGACTAAACAGTTGCTAGCAGATGAAGATGTTGCCATTTTATGTTTTTGTTGGTTTTGTCCATATTACCGTTCAGCTCAAGACAGGTCCCCAGATAGGCTACATGCACACATTTGTTTTGTATGATTATAATATGATTAGTTTGTTTAGTTTGATTATAGGATAGAACTGTCATTAGCTCAGTAAGACAATGGGGGAGAAAAAAAATCAAAAACTCTTAATTTTTAAATGATTTTATAAGTTTCAATCTGTATTCTGAACAGTTTTGAGATATTGAGCTTCAAAGTTTGTACATATACTTTGTAGATATAATTTTTTTTAAATAAAAAGTGCCAATATGGACAATGTAAACAAGTTGTCACAGAAAAAGAATATGTGAATAACTCAATTTTGACACAAACAAAGTCAGCCTACCTTTTAATTCCAAGGTGACGAAGTGTCCTATCATTTTGAGGAAGCTGTAGTGAGCTGTTAGTGAAAAAACACGATTATAATGGAAAACACGAATAATTGAGACTGGTTTGTGTCTTATATTATTGTATCTCAACTTTGATCAAGTTCAAACATTATTGAACATGATTATTTTCACCAGCAGAGGGCGCTGCGAGCTATACTGATTACTTGTCGCGCGCCGGCTGCTTTAGCCATGAAGAACTTAACCTGGGCCAGAGCGGAGTGTTATCCTCAATCAAAAGACAAGTCACATGCTATCTATATATGTTCAATTAAAGCAGTGCTGTTTGTGTGCACTAATTAACAAGGTATGAGAACATTGCGGGATTGTTTTGCACACAATATTAAATATTGCTGAACTTCCGCCGCCGCTCTGATATGAATGAATAATATAAAAATAATAAACTAAACCGTTACACTTGCACAATTACATTTCATAAACATAACATTTGAAAAGTTGTAATTAATTTGTGAAAATCAACATGTTAAATAGTTAGAAAATGTTACAAATAAATACAATTCTATTTATTTATTATGATCTCATTTATTGTTTTATTTTTGTAATGTGTTTTTGTAAAGTCATAATATTCTTGTGATACTGTTTTGATCTGTTTGATGTTTACTATACTGTTTATTACAGTTACATTTAGTTATTTAGCAGACGCTTTTATCCAAAGCGACTTACAAATGAGGACAATAAAAGCAGTCAAAACTAACAAAAGAGCAACAATACTTATATTATTATTATAGTTTACTATTTTTATTGTGTGATTTTTTGTCGTTTGTATTAAAGGGGTCATATGATGCTTTTTTTAAAGATCATTATTTTGTGTATTTGGTGTAACAGAATATGTTGACATGCTTTAATGTCCAAAAAACACATTATTTTTCAACTACTGTACATTATTGTAGGTCCTCTATGTCCCGCCTCTCTCAAACGCTTTGTTTTCTAGAAAGTCCCTCCTTCCCCAAGCGCAGTCTGCTCTGATTGGCCAGCTGACCCAGTGTATTGTGATTGGCCGAACACCGCAAGCACTCGTCGGAAATGTAACGCCCCTTACCATAATCGCGAGCTTCATCTTTCAAAATAAATGTAAAGACAGTAAATAATGTCATTAGTTTTACCATCAGTTCAAGCCCGAAAGGGGAACAGTATGGCAGCAATTCTATGCCATTAATAACCGAGCGCGGTAAAGCAATTCCGCGAGAGGAAAACAGATTTCCACGCGAGGAAACAGGAGCCCGCGAGCTCATTTCAAACCCTCTCAAATCTCAAATGTCATTGGTTATTCCTCTTTTCCGGAAGTCAGTTTTGGACGCCTGTTATAAGATGATTTATAATTCTCTTGACTTAAAACATGGCACCAGTGGACCAGATGCATGTGAGTTATCGTTTCATTTGCTTGCTTTATTCATTCATTTTGTCTTTATTTAATGTAATTTAATGCATTGTTCATAGAGTAGATCTTTTTCAACGAGCCATATCTAGACTGGGACATAGCAGTGATTTTTTAAATGTATTTACCCCTTATTTGTTGGGAAAAAAAACTGACAAGGCAAATACAGTTCTTTAACAGGGATATTAGGACCAGTTTAATTCAGAAGGTGTTTGAGTGCCCTCAACCCATCCAAACTCAAAAGTGATTCAAATTCTTGAATAGCTCTGAAATCTTCACAGGCATCGTAAGAAACTGCTATGTCACCATCTAGATCTGGCTCT